GAGTCGAGCAAACTCGAGAAAACTACTACGCTTTATCATAACGATAAAGCTCTGTGATAATGATTTATCGCCAGTACAGCTTTCTTATTTTATTTTATTGCTCTCTTACAAATGCGTCTTCACCTCACGTTGTATAAAAAAAAAAAATAAATAAATAAATAAATAAAAACAATAATCGATGCATATATCCTCGAGAAAAGGATCGGTTTACATTTTTTATCATCCTCTAATTTAACTATCCTACACGAGCCTGGTAGTAAATAAAAGTAAAATGGAATGATTTGGGATTCTTCCCCGAAGCTGACTGGAAATAAAATTCCGAGTGTCTTTTTAGGTTCGTTCGCCCGAAATTCGATTCGATTTGATGTTAGGTCAGCTTTTTCTCCCCTCCTCTCCCCACACATTATCTCCCTGGGTCCTTCTCGCCTCAACTTAGGAATCCATCAACTGCTGAAATATCTGCAAGGACTGTCACTCCCTTCGTGGAACCCGATAAAATAAATGACAAAAGTAGGGCTTGTCTTGATTTTTACGACGAGTCGCGATCGTTCCTTCCGAAGAATTATTAATTAGTTGCTTTTTAGACAGGTGCTTAAAGCCACCAAGCAACCTCCGTCTCCGGAATACCGGGATATAAAATTACCAATTTTATTTGCTGATCCTCGGGCTACTTACGATCCTTGATTCCGAGATCGGCGTCAATATCGATTATACAGAATCGTTAAATTTTAGAGATTGCAACATCTCCAGAGTTCTTTTCTTGTCGCTCATAAGACTGACTCCATCGATACTTAGAATCAATAAACATTAACATTATCCAAAGTTATTTCCGAGAACTCTGGGTATCAATTAAAAGGGTTCCGTAACTAAACAACTGAAATTAAAACACCCTCAGGCTTCAGTATTGATTAAAAATTTTTTATCATTTTTCTTGTCAACTTTACAACGGGCTCAATCATAGAAAATTATTAATTCAACAATGCAATTTAAAAAAAAAATTATCGTTTTATAAATCTATCTTTGCCTTGGCGCCACTCGGAAGTTTATTATTTACAATTTCTCCATAAAATCAGCATACATTACCCCTGAACAACCTGAACATCTACATTGAGATACTCCTTATAATATTGCAGAGAGTACTGCGTGGGTACTTTCAAGTGCGACTCTCACGCCTCCTCAGATGATGTCATTCCCCTTTCCATCAGACCTGTAATAAAATGAAATCCCAGTTTACCAGTTTACCAGTTTACCAGTTTACCAGATTCTTAAAGCAAAGCCAGCAGGCGGATGTGTCCCGAGATCGGATCAACCTAATAGATCTCCACTCACATCTAAACGATGATTATAACCAAAAACCAAAAAGCTAGACACCTCATTAAGATAAGTAATTCAATAATTGAATAGCCATTTATTAAACTAAATAAATTGAAATTGAGTGATGGATAAAACCAACTGGAAAGAGATTACATTACAAGTTATAAGTAGGAAAAGAACTGGCGCAAGAGAGACCGGTAGCACGCGATTAGCGAGTCGTTGCGTGGTACCACGTCATCTCACGGTTGGCTAGTTACGCCAACCGTGTCGGCTCTCCCTGGACACGCGACCCACACAAGCTGGCGCGCGACTACTCTCTCTTTCTCTCTTTCTCTCTTTATCCCTCCTTATTTGCCGCTGTCACTCCTATCCAGCATTGACCAGCAGCATCTGGCTCTTTTGAACGAACCCACCAGTTCGAGAGTGTTCGAGCGAGAAAGAATCATCAACATCAACATCAGCATTTTGTTCCACCGGCAATGTGTTGGTTCGTTCCGAGGCAGATAAGATACGACACCGCTGATACGCCTCCGCTAGCTGAGATTACGTCCTGAGGTGTGCTCCGAGATTGCTGATGATGTCATTCAGCTGGTTGGTTACCTCACCGTCGACATCAAGTGCCAAGCTACCAATTTTTGCTGATCGATTTGATGCTAATTGATTCACCTGGACACTACAAAAAGAGCACCGAAGATATTGTAGATGGTGGATCTCTCTGGTGAAAGGAACAAGAGCTAGCGGTCCTAAAAGGTTCATCTTGTAGACCCTCATCATCACTTACCCGGAGTTTATTGAACAAGATTTCCTTACAAGAGGCGGCGAAATCCGAATCAATGAACAAACTGTGTATGTGTTCCTTTATAGGATCGAATTGATGATAGCAAGTTGGTACCAGTTGACCAAGATATACTGAAGGCTGGGTCAGGGGTTAAGTGCCAAGGAAGACCCCGAGTCTAGTAACCGGTAACTGGTGTTGTTAAAGAACAGAGCTACGTTTTCCAGGTGCGTGTACGTGCCCGTCTCTCGACGCCCATGTGTGGGTGTCCAAGGACTCCAAAGCGCGACTGGTCACGCGTCAAGGTGCCCACGTTCCAGGACCCGAATGCTTACCGAGCAATTTATAATCATACGAGTTCAATGTAATGTGTAGGAAGAAAGAGAGAGAAAGAAAATTTTAGTTTATAGTTTTTCATTCATCACTTGGTCAAGATTTAAATTTTAATAATTTCGGTATTATTAAAAATTTTTGTGGCAAGCAATGTTTTAAAATATATAGTTTTTACCGAAGAACACGATTTAATAATCCAGTGATCGATTAATAATTGAGTGTATTAAAACCTCGAGGAATTTCAAATAGGTGACTTCTTCACCGGATTCCTCCAAATTTTCGGGTTAATTTAAACGTTTTAAGCGCTACACTGCTACCACCTTTCGATATCCCAGATTTAACTACCAGAGAGTTGGTAGTCGTCGGAAACAAAACCAAGAAGCAGAACCAGAAGAAGAAGAAGAAAAAGAAGAAGAAGGCAAACGAAAGAATATGAAAAAGAGCTGGAGAAAAGTCCTCGTTACAACGACATTCTACTTTGCGGGCGAGACGCGTGCCTTGCCTTCGAGATCGACGGTAAAAGCTTCTCCGAGGAGGGCAATGTGCTGAAAAGGGTGTTGCTTCTTCCGTCTCTTTCTTCTTCTCAGATGGTTTGGACCTAAACCTGTCTGCATGGCAAGAAAACACGAGTCGGCATCGATTCGGTGCGAGAGGTCGCATCGTTTTGGCATGCCTGAGACGGATAAAAAAACACACACCAATTCGCAACGCATGTCCAGTTTTCATTCTCCTACAGTTCGGAATTCCTGATCCAAATTAAATTTCTAATCCTTTTCATTTGTAACATATGGCTTCAATTGAACATCGTGAATAGAGTGGGAAAGCCGGTGTTGGTCGTGAGATCAGCCTTGACCTGGTGATCGAACGGCAACCCATCGTAATCGTGTGGAGAGGAACACAAACGAGCAATCAGCACACACATCGGAAAAGACAACCAAACAGTAAATCACATAAGCATCGTGAATCACTGATTCCACTGAGTCGGCTGACACCAATGGAGACCTTTGCTGGCCTCTCACTGTACTCGACGCACCTGGAGAGCTCTAACATAAAAAAAATAGCACCAACATCATTGAATATAATAGCGACATGTTAGATATGTTGGAAACCGTTGATCAGATTCTCAGTTTGTGTCGATCTATAAATATGTGGTTAGAATTATAAATACAGAGATATTTCTCAACACCCCTCATCATTCCAATGACGAATAAGTTAGTTCTCCAGCATAGACCGATAATCCGATCTAATGAAATCCTCACCCTCGGATCCTCCCAAGGGGATCTCACTAAGAGACGTTTCTAGGTCGACGACCAGTCAGCGATGTCGTGGAGACTCCGTCGGCAAAAGTATCTCTTCTCTTATTTTAATCTCTTGTGTTGTGTTTTGTTGGTCTCTTTGGTGCTCAGTAGTCGCTTCTCTTGATCGGCGAACAGTCACCTCGATAAAAACCAACGGTTTTGACCACGAAAACAATAACAAACTGCATTGGCCGTTTGGATGGTTGGTTGGTTGGTCGGTTGGTTGGATCGTTGGTAAGGTTTTAACTCGATTCAAGTATCGACGATACATTGACTTGAGAAGGCCGCGAGTTTTTATTTTCTCAGAGCATCCTTTAAGCATATTCTTCTTTGCAAACATCTCGAATACGAAATGTGGATTCCTGAGGAATTTTATTGACCGCGTCCAATGAAATTCGAGCAAATAAATCTCAAAGCTTCTCTACTTTGTGATTTTCTTCCTTCTTACTTATATTTTTATTTTGTTGCATCCTCAAACTCGTTCTTTTGTCTCCCCAGTTCTCGCCTTAGTCAATATCCCCGGTATCATCAAAAGAGCCCTTTTTCCATCCAGATATGAATCGTTTAACAATCAAAATTATGTGTCGAAAGCAGTATGTCAGGTTCTTCCGTGTGTTATTACGATCCTTGATCTCTTAGAAGTTTATTCTTTCTCTCTCTCTCTCTCTCTCTCTCTCTCTCTCTCTTTATTATTTTTCTTTTGGTTTGTTTTACTCGTGAATCACTCGTCAGGTCCACCACGCGAATTATACAACTGCGAAAAACTTGGCCGCACTTGGGGAATGTCGTTGGCATGTTCAGCTCTTCTTCTTCTTCTTCTTCTTCTTCTCCTTATTTTCTTCTTCTTCTTATCGGTCTTTTTCTTTTTGTTCCCTTCAGAAGGAGTCCATCTCTTTTCCTCTCATAAGCCATCTTTGGCTGATTGTTTTTTTTTGCATCCAGGCTTCAGGGAATCAAGAACAACCGTCCCGGGACTCTCTTCCTTGTCACGGATAATTTGGCAAGGATATTCTGTCACCATTAGGAAAATCAATCGGAATTTAAGACCACGCAAGATTAGCAACATTTTTGTTAAAATGACTCCGTAAATATTAAATATTTTGATTTTTTCTCTTAAAAATGAGATTTTTTTTAATTTTTAAAGAGGTTTCTCTGTTATATAATAAAAAAAAAAAAAAAAAAAAAAAAACAATTTTTTTATGACTTAATCAAGTGAGTAACAAGCAATAAAGCACGTACCGGTTAGCAAAAAGGACAAAGAAAAGAGTTTATAAATAAATATGGTGTAAGAAAATACTAAAGTTTTTGATTAATTGCCATTGCTTCAGTAATGTTTAATGTTATGTATAGATTTATAAAAACAAAAAAGGCATTGAGTTTAATTGAGCGTGGACTTTTATAAAGAACAGTGATTAATTCGTTGCAATATATTTAATGGTTTTCAGAGTCTAGCCACAGGTTGGACAGTGGCTCCCCGTTTTGGAGGATACAACTAGATCAAGACCTCCTGGATACTATTAGCGCTATTTATCCCGAGTGGTTTAAGGTAAATTTCCTTTCTTGTCTTCTGTTTGCTGACCTGTTCAACACCAGACATTATCCACACTTAACTTTTTTTTTTTTTTTTTTTCATTTTTGTTTTAGGATTATACGAACAGCAGTAGAACCTCTATATCCTCTATTATTTCGTCATCGCCCACCCACCAGTCTAACGACGAGTCGATTGATAGAGACAAAGCCTCTGATTCGACAGACCAGGAGGGCCAAGGTCACAAGAGTGCCAAAGAAGCTAAAACCAAGTCCAAGGTCAGGAAACTCGAGAGGTCCAAGGACCGGAGGGAGAAGCGTCAAATTAGAGAAGTTGATAGGTTTGTTATTGGTTATTGTTAATAGTTATTTTTGTCCAATCCATTATTTACTATAATTGTTGTAATAAGTAATAAAAGTTAATAAGGGAGCACTTACTCGAAAGATCCAAAGGCTGTAATCTAGGGTGCTCATTGTAATTTACTATCACTTAAAGAAACATTATTGCTTATTAGCTTATTACTTTTAGCACAGAAGTAACTAGACAATGAACCGCCAGTAACTTATTATTGTTTTTGTCTTTTTGGAATTAATTTTTAAAAATTATACAATTTTGTCACGAAATTTTTTATAATAATTCTAATTAATAGTTTAGACGATTACTTGGTAATAAATGGATCAATTAATTAATTAATGGGTATTTCAGAGATTTGCCGGGAAGCGAGACCGTCAAAAAAGGGGCAAAGCATCCTTCTTCAGGCCCGCGACACGAAAGAGAAAGAACGGAGAGCTCTTCGACGGGGAGAAAGTCGGCGGGTGGTGCCTCCGAAGACACATCACCCGAATCCGAGGACTCTGCAGAAATGGCTGAAGGCAATAGATCGTCTCCTCCGAAAGCGGAAGTTGACGATTCGCCTTTACAATACGCCATGGACCGCAATAAGGAATGTGAGTATATTAAAACTTATTTAATTTTTTTTTTTTTTCAATCTTACAAGATATTTTTTACCGAATCTAAATGTGTCAACCCCGCTGGCTCTGGAATGAATAATAACAATAATAATATTAATTACATAACAACAAATTCAAGCGATAAAAGTAACAAAACTAATATTTATGTATCGATAATTGCGGGTCTGCAAATGAAGCAGCAATTAGAAAAAGTGTGTTAATTTTTATAGGCAACTTGAACGTTTGTTCTGTGTTTTAAATATCATCATTGGTAAGAAGGTTTACGCAAAAAGCGACTTACGTGAGAGCGCGTGAGCTGAGAAGGAAAAAAAAACTGATGGGTAGTTTCAAGTTGACAAGCTTGTGAATGATCTCCGCAAATACTTACTTCTATCTATATCATTATACTCGTAGTTATTATTGCGTACGAACAAGGCCGTGATGATTTATTTCAACGATAATTAATTATCAGCTAAGTGTACAATCGTAAAAAATTAATTATTATTTAACACATCTAAGTGTGTCAGCCAGTAACCAAGTATTGGATTCTGGTAATTTAGTAATTTTATCAGCAAACATTGAATCATTCCGCTGCTTTTGTAATTCTATGATATCATTTTCTATTTAAAATTTTCTCGGTTTTAAAAATTGGAATCGCTCATGATGGGTTTAGTACCATGAAGGCGCCAAAAATCGATCCCCCCTCTTTCGGTCGGGCTTGGGGCATTTCTCGAGCATCTGATAGTCAGCCCGGTCCCTCTTAGCTGGCAACGTGGCATTATCCCTCAGTAATCATACGCTCGTTTCAAATAAGAGTCATGCAAGCAATGGGCGATGAATTATCGATTCCCAATTCATTTTTTCTTCTTTTCTTTTCTCTTCTCTTTTTTTTCATTTTTTTCTCTGTTTCTTGTTCTTGGCTTTTGCTTGCCGCGATTTTTTTTCAACTTTTATTACATAATAAAAAGGGCGCTTCCTCCTCTCGTTCGGGCTGGTAATGAAAGGCTGTAGACTGAAGACGGTCATCCTGCAGGATGCTCCTAAGATTAGTTGGCTTTATCACCTTGTACATATATATATATATATATATATATAAATATAAGACAGAGTTGGGCGGCACCGACACTTGTTCTTCTCCATGATCATGATTTCATAAACTTTTTGTTATTTTTTTATGCCTTCCTTTCTTTTATTTTATTTTATTTTCTTTCGTTTGCTCTTCCTTTGAGCTGGGTATGGAAAAAGGAATAAATATCTAGAGAATTAGAAATAAAAATGAGGGCTTAACAAATAAAAGCAGCATGTCGACAAGTCCTTGCTCCCGGTACGGGTCCAATCGCGGTCTTAACTTCTTTGTCACGAATGCCTGAGGATCGATTCCTCTACTCGAGGCCTCATTAAATGAGCCTCGTCCCGGCTATCAACAGCGGTCTTTAGAACGTCATTTTGTCGCGTTTATCGTCCCTTTTTCAATTGCAATTACTTTTTGCAACCATCAAGTCCCGCATTGTCGTACAACCGAGTCCTCAACAGCAATATTATACTATACATAATATATAGTCCAGTTCCATTCCTTCATTCTTTCTTTCTGTATAATGTTATAACCTTATACCATTAAATATTGAAATAAAATCTATAATAATATAATAATTGTTGGGTACGCAATTTTTTAACAATCCAGTTATTAAAGAGATATTCAATTTAAAAGTTCAAGATTAGAGACTTTAAAAAAGACAAAAAAATGTAAATACTTTATTGACTTATTTATGATTATGATTATATTGTGGAGGTGATTATGATCGGGACCGAGGAGGGAATGCATGTGCCGAAGTCAGAGTCTCCTGATATAATAGTCGGTGTTTGATATCATATAATATGTTAGAGCTGGAGTATGTTTTGAGCGGCGAGTAAGAGTTATATGCTATATTACGTAGGTGACTTAACTATTCTGGAGTAGAGTGGTACGATATACGTGTCGGCGAACATGCACAAGGAGACAAGAGGCGTGACTATTTATAAAGGTGATATCATCGATATTACCTACGCTTTCACATTGCCAATCGTAAATTCTACGACTAAAGGGTCTTATCGGTGCAATTAATTTTTTTTTATTTATTACCTGTACTACGGTATTTAAATTTTGATTTATATTGATATTTTTGATGGTAATAGATCTGGAATAAATCCAATTCATTTATTCTGAAAAGTTCAGAGCTCAAAGTTGATTAAATTTATTTATTAAGTATGAAAAATTATTTTTTAATTTTCAGTTGTAGATAATTAAATTCTCTTTCAAATGATATCATAACAAAAGCAATTATTCTTATCGATCGGTTCCTTAAAGGTTAGATAAATAATAAGCCAGTTAAAGAGCAAATGACAAGAATTCAAGCAATGAATTGTCATAAAATAACTATCGCGTTGGTCTATTAACTTATGAACGCGTATCACCACAAGCAGATCTGCTCCTTCTGAATGTTGATTGGTATCAACTGTAACGAGCGATCGGTTTGACGTCACCGGTATAAATAAATCTAAATAGTGGACTATATCGTTGCATATTCATAAAACACGCAAAGACTGGGACTAAGGGCCCCCGTGGGCGAACCGGTGCGAGATATGTCGAATCGCGAATATGCTGAGACCGGAAAGTAAGTGTCATGTATACACAAGTTAAAATTGGCGTTAGACTGCCGTTTAATTCACTTCAGTTGCATACACTAGATGTTGTTGGGTTTAACTGCGTGCCTACGCGAGCACAACAAATCAAACTCAATTCCAATCCAGATAAATAAAAAGCTAATAATAATGTAGAATGTAGAGTGGAAAATAAAACTTATTAAATAAATTCGTAGATCGTGTGTGCGTGCCGACGAGTTTACTTTCTGGAATCTGTTGTCCCTTGAAAAAACTGATTGCCCACGCGATCCGATTCGAAGAGATGACGGTTTATAAATCCCCGCTGTGGAAAAAAAAAAAAAAAAATACATCCGAGTTTTTTTTATTACCGATCACTCGATGGTTATTATTTTTTACTTCGTCTTGGCTTAAAATCGGTTATTACAACTTCAATTATTAAAATACTAATGCCCTCAATAAACGTTAGATCTCTGGAGTTTGTCTTTTTTTTATTATTAATATTATTTTCCATTGGAAATCCCGCAGTGAAGTCTGCCGGCCTCCAAAGGTGAATATATCTTACTCTTTGGCCGTAAAATCTCTGGATTTGACTGTCAGAAGCTAAAAATTACGATCCTGTAATTCGTTAAATCAATTCGCGTCATCCAAATTTTATAGTATATTCGGGTTTGACAATGTATAAATTTAATTAATTAATTATAGTAGCGAATAACAATTTGCTACATTGTAAATTGTATATAGAATTTTTATCAAATATAAATTCAATAAAACTTAAAACATAGTTAAAAATTGAATAAAAACCTTTTTTTATAGTAAAATTACCTGTAATTGTAAAATGATAGTTGAAGAGTATAAAGAGCGTAATAAGCACGAGTGATCACGGAAGGAAGAGAGGATGTCCCGTTCAAACCGGTACGTGTAGGTGTTGATAGACAACGATCGACGATTATTCGTCCGCTCGTTAACTCAGCACTCGGTCAATAGAGTTCTTTGGCTCTCAAGGGTCTCTCTCTTTCTCCCTGAAGTTGATCTCTCTCCTGCCATTCGATCAATTCCATTCGATCGGCGAGCCTCGAATGACAACTAGTCTCACTTCCTTTCTGCCGACGAGGCTTTCCGTCACACGGGCTATCATTCATGAATTTAAATTCAGTCTCGTTACGAATGATCCTGTTGTCACCACACGCTATCCATCACCAAGACAAATCGCTCATATATATATATATATATATATATATATATATATATATATCAGTCTCCTCGTTAATAATAGCAAACTTGATAGAAAAAAAAAAAAATCAACGTCCCATTCCGAATTTAAAAATTTTTTTCATTTAAATTCTTAAATATGTTCTTTAAGATTGTTATTGTAATTCTACCGAGAGACTAATGCATTATTTTATTTTATTTATTTTACGATCGATAATAATTAATGTGAAAATTTGATGGCGATTTAACGATAAGTAATATTGACACCGGAAAGATGGATGCCGTTAGTCGACAATTGCAGTATAAGCATAAGTAAGGAAGCACTTCCGTACCATATACATCAGATTGTTGATTATTCGCAACTCGTCCTTAGTACGTGCATATGGCTCGTGTCCTCGCCTCGTGTGCTGTCTGTGCATTACATTTTTATTTACGAACAAAACAAACATCTCTCGTACTCGAGCATCGATCGTTCAATAAATTACAATTATTTTCAATTATAATTAAGGTGGGAGATTAGCTCAGACGATTTTTAAAATTTTATTTTTCTTTCTTCTGTAAATTTTTTAATAAAAGGAAAAAATAAGTTTAAGTAACAGTAAAAACATTAAACAAATTTACCTGTTGTCTGCAATCGTGGAATAAATTATAGAAAAAAGCTTAAGGATCGTCGGGGCAGTGAGGATATCGATCGAATCGTGACAAGTTCCGAAAGTAATCGGTTTTGTAGCGTTAACGAGGCGTGACCGAACCAACGAGACTCATTTACCACGGGACCACGGGTTGGTTAAGCAATTTTAATCTAATTGAGGATAAATTATCATGCCGAGATACTTTTTGCAACTTGTATCGTAATGCATTCATACTTTCAATACTCATTTCATTCATTTATAATTTTAATACTGTCCATTTTTTTAAATCTTATTTTTTTTATAATTGTACACGTGTAATCTGATTCCGTATTTTGTTACATAGGTATTGTCTAATAGCGTTTAGTCAGTGCGACACGGGCCATCGCGCAATTGGGGCATCAGGGAACGATCGCGAATCTCAATGCATCGCATATAGGGATCGAATGATCCTCAGGGGAGTCGTGACGAGCCACCAAAACGAAAGTCACCTCAACCACGTTAACGAGCTTATACATATATAGATGGATAGAGATATATGTGCATCAATGAGGCGTGGTGACTCTTCGCTTCATTAATTAAGTCATTCTTTGGTGATATCTTATGGAGATTGTTATAAAACACTGATTCGTGCTTCATAAATCACAGGGTCGAATTTAAAGCTTATGCTGGGAATTTTTTTATTTTAAATTAGTACTTATTAGGTAAATTTTTCACATATGTAAATCTCGGAAATTTATTAAAATATTTCTATATTAAGAAATTAAAATAGTAATAATAATTTCCTGGTAAATAAGAATAATAATAACAACAACAACAACAGAGTAGGTACATTAA